TAGTGTCCGGCAGAAACCACTCCGTCTTCTGAACAATATCTCAACTGCGAAGCTTCTCTGACTGCTGATGTATAGATAATGGCATGACCTGGCCATTATCACTGTAGCAACAGTGCCCGGGTGCTGTCAGAGGAAAATTGCACATGGAACTGCTGGCCTTGGGAAAGCCATGCCTCAGCGTCCTCTGACCATGCTTTCTCTGCGAATCTGCTGTGCCCAGGGTCACACTCCTCTTCATAGAATCCAGCTTCTTGGATAATTTGCTCAGCATACAGACTGAATAGGTATAGAGAGAGTATACAATTCTGACACATATCTTTCTCAGTTGTAAACAGTATAGTGTTCTCCTGCTCTGACTGTACAATAGCCTCCTGGTCCAGAGGTTTGAGAGGAGCTCTGGGATTCCTATTCTTCTCAATGTCAGCTACAACTTGTTATGATCCACATAGTCAAATGCCTTTGCATTGCTAATGAAATACAAACAGACATTCTTCTGGTATTCCTTATTTTCAGTCAGGATCCATCTGTTATCAAGAATGTTATCCCTGGTACTATGGCCTCTTCTAAATCCTGCTTGAACTTCTGGCAGTTTCTTATCTATGTACTGTTCTAGCCATTTTTTAATGATCTTCAGCAGTATTCTGTTCACAAAAGTTATTAATGATATTGTTTGATAGTTTCAACTTTCAGTTGGATCACCTTTCTTAAGAATGGGAACAAATATGGACTTCTTCCAATCTGCTGGCCAGAGATCTGTCCTCCAATTTTCCTGGGATAGACTGGTGAGAACATCCAAGGCTGCATCTGTTAATTGAAACAAGTCAATTGGCATCCCATTGATTCCTGGAACCTTATTGTTTTGCCAATGCTTTCAATGCAGTTTCTACTTCCTCTTTCATTACCATTAGCTCCTGTTCATATATTCCTGAAATTTTTTAGTGTCAATCAATTCTTCCAGGTTCAGTAATTCTATGTATTCCCTCCATCTTCTTTAGATGCTTTCTGGGTCACTCAATATATTGCTCCTAGCATCTTTCAATATTGAACATGAGGCTTAAATTTGTTTTTCAGTTCTCTCAGCTTGAGAAATGGAGAGCGAGTTCTTCCCTTTTTATTCTCCAATTCCAACTCTCTGCACAGCCCATTATAATCTTCTATTCCACAATTTCACTTTGACATGTTTTCCTTTTGTTTTGGCTTTTGATGCTCCAGTGTCATTTTTAGAATCTCTTCTGACCTCCATTTCTATTTGAATGTTGTTGTTATTGTTTTTATGTGCCATCGAGTTGCTTGCAACTCATAGCAACCCTATGTACAACAGCCCTAAACTCTGATCTGTCCTGTGCCAATCTCATTGTCTCCAATACACGCATCCCGATTACCCAAGTCACTGAATCAATCCAGCTCATAGAAGGCCTTCCCCTCCTGCGCTGTCCCTCCACCCTCCCCAGCATGATGTCCCCTCTCCAAAGAATGGTCCCTCCTTACAATATATCCAAAGTATGTTAGACAGAGCCTCAGAATCCTTGCCTCCGAGGAGCCACCCGGTTTAAACCTCTCCAGGATGAATCTGTTTGTTTTCCTACCAGTCCACTCTTCTCCAGCACCACAGCTCAAA